TTAGGGGTCTGCTAGAACGGAGAACTCAAAAATTAGCTTTCCTGGATTTCTATATGGTCATCTCCTGGAACTCGATTAGGTTGAGATATAATTGAATTATAAAACAAGGAGAATCGGGTATTTGCATTTCCTCAAGCTACTAGGTGTGCCTTAGTAGTTGCACCCGAGAAATGTCCGCCAGTATTGTCAACTTTGTGGGACTACACCACTTGTCCGTTCCTTAGCCTCCTCTTTTTTCTTTTTTCACTACATCCATTTTTCTTTTCGTTCTTCTTCGAATGTTTTACCCAGAGTAATGTTGTTTCCATGCATTCTTGGACCCGACAACAACTATTCCAAATAGCATCCTCTGTTATTAGAAAAGTGCACCAAACGAATTGTCGGCACGCCGTCACATCCCGTCTCGACCTTTTTGTTAGGAAGTTTATTGGACAATTTCCTACGAAAACCTCGACCCAATATACAATTAAGGGTAAAGTATTTACCAAAGAAAGTTCATGGATTGAATGGATTCTGTTTTTGTCCCTCCACAAGCACAACAAAACATACGGTAGAAAGATTGCTGGACAAAGGTTTAGGGAAGAGCAAGTGCCATGAAAAAACTGATTGAGGAAACAAAATACTTCATCCAAATCAATTCCAAAAACACCCGCGTGTTGGTTGGGGAAATTTGAGCATGGTTGAGCTTCCAATTAAAATAAACACGCTCATGTCGCTAGCTAAGTCCTTCCCAGACAGCTTCACCCACCAGCGATTTCTGTTCACACACACATGTGCTACATATAAATATGCTTGCTGTAATCATTGCGCACGGCTTCTTCACTACAAAAATATAGAATAACAATTTAAGTTTTAGAATTTTCTAAGGAACCACGAATCAGATAGCCACGAAACTTTGGCTTTAGATTACCCGTGGCCGACTACCCCTTACTGCTACATTAAATTCTGCCCTGCTCCGTTTTGCGGAGCAGAACAGTCCACAATCAATTATACGGTGCGTACAATCGAGTTGGTCATCAATTGCTTTGGTTTAATTACCCACCATATAACTTCTGTTGGGCGGACGTCCGGTTCGATGACGGCCGTGGTTGGTACAAATGGGCGTTGAAGCCGGTTTTCAAAGTCGGCCTCAGCTGCTCATCTGCTGTCAACCATGACCGTCTCCTCGAGGTGTTATCGTGTACATCCTTCTGAAAAGTCCTCACATCGAAGGCAGAAATTGCGGTGAAACTCCAGTTCGGGGGGGCCACTCCATTGTTTCTCCAATACTCGAGATAAGGATGACAGCGCTCATGATACGTAACCAACTCATTCAGAGTATACTTTTGATAAGTAACGGTGTAATGGGAAAAAAGCCGTGAGATGCTTTAACCTTTCCGCCTGCCATGGTCCAAGGGAACGGTCCTGGACCGGAGAATGGATACCTCTTTCTAGGGCCAAGGGTGGAGGAGCTCCAGGGTGGATGACCTGGTGCAGAAAATTGTATAGGAGGTGGGCAGAATGTGTGATGGACAACATTTACCGGTCCTTATCGAAAGTACGCTCGAAATTAATCGTTTACTTGATATCTTATCCATGGTGTTGGATAGCCCAAAGTACCACTCGTTAGTACTACGGATAAGATAGCACTGGAGTGGCCCCCCCGAACTGGAGTTTCACCCAATTTCCGTTTGCTTGGCGCGTTGGGACAGAGCGCCCACGCTCATGGCAATCTGTGTCTCTAGCCTCATTCAGGTAAAGTGTAGCGAACGCATGTCTCCCGCAACGAGTGGGCTTAGTAGTCGAACGTAGTGGATTTCAAACATTACTGTAGACGCAATCAAACCTTCATGCAAGTTCACCACCTTTGTGCAGTTTGACGGGGGCTTGATCCAAACGGTTTTCTTTAGTACTTTATTATCTTCTGCTCAGGTCGACATGCATGCTGATCGCCCCTCAAGACACTCATCTCAGTTTCGGAAGCAACGAAACTATACAGTGCGTATCATAAGTATAGACGCACCCCTTAAAGTACCACAGCTGACGTTCATAGAAGTTCCCACAAAACGAGCTCATCACCATCTGAATCAGCATGCACGAAAACCTATGTTTCCCAGCTTTCACAATGAATTCGAAGGAATTCGGCTTTTTTTCTAACAGATGAACATTATTTACCCTGTATCAAAAGTATAGACGCACCTCGGAAATCTAATACATTTGTAGCGAAAACAAACATATAACAACTTCTTGATAATTAATTGTTCCTCCATGTTTAAAAGGGATTTCAAAAATTTGATTTGGCATTGATTCAACTAATCCATGAAGCAATTGCAAATCCAAACAATCCCATGCCTGACCAATTGTCATCTAAAGATCTCTCACTTTATCAGAAGTTGTCCCCTGGTGGTAAACATCTCCGACAAGGATGCCCCAGATGCTTTCTATGAATAATTATCAGGATAGTCTATGGCGACTGTATTTCGCTCCTCTAACCATGATTTTGTGGACCTGCTCACGTGGGTCGCCACGTTCTTTTGTCGGAAAGCGAGTTCTCTTTCTTCGGGACGTGCTGGAAAAGGTAGTAGATGACAACGTAGCACGTCCTCGTAATCGGACGAGTCCACACGCGTGGAGGTAAAGGTGACCCCAAGCTCCCAGTTCCGACGGAGTCCTACCAAACTATCACGCCACCCCCATCGAAATCACGTCTACTGAGGTACTTCAGTTCCTTGCGGAGAGCTCCCAAGTAGAACGCATTTCCAGCTGAGCCATCCAAATTGAGCTACTTCTCGTCAGAAAATATGACCAAAATTGGAAATTTCAACTCAGAGAGCTTTATTAGGAGGACGGGCATCTTCGAACAATTTGTTGCCATGTTCTTTCTGGCAAACTGTTGCCGGGTCTCCCTGTAGGCGTCGGTAAGTGGAAGAGCTGGGCGGAGACGACACCTAACTATGTTGTTGTTGCGCTTGGTTGCCCACCATATCGTCATTCTGAACAATGGACCCAGTAAGGTGGCTCGAACCCAACTGATGCTGATAGTCGAGTTGGAAACGAGGCGTCTAATCGCACGTTCCTGCAGTGGAGCTAGGTTCTTCGGCCTTCCAGAACTCTTCTTCTCTCCCTTAGTATCCTGGGTCATGTAGAAATCGGTCGATAGACCTTGATGAGCACTGCAGTTGTTCACCATTTCGACAATTGCTTAGGTATGCTGTGTACAGGGCGCGAACTTGTTCCTACTCGGCTTCTAATGAATGTAGACCTCATGGCATTCTTCGATATTGTGCAGAGTACTCATTCCCAGTTACTAAATTCCTGAAATGGCAAGTTGACCATGTGTAGCCTTTTATTTTGACCGAGCTAATTTAGTGCGTCTATACTTTTGATACAGGGAAAATAATGTTCATCTGTTGGAAAAAAGCCGAATTCCTTCGAATTCATGTGAAAGCTGGGAAACATAGGTTTTCGTGCATGCTGATTCAGATGGTGATGAGCCCGTTTTGTGGGCACTTCTATGAACGTCAGCTGTGGTACTTTCAGGGGTGCGTCTATACTTATGATACGCACTGTATTGTCGCTGAATCGACTAATACATTAAGCGGTTAGAAGACCATTTTGATTTGCAATATAGAGTTATATCAACTATACAAAGGGCGGAAGTGGTGTAGTGACAAGTGGCGCGCTTACCACGCGAGCGGTCCGGGATCAAATCCTGGGTCGTGAGTCGCCCGGGCCAACCAAGCCTTCCATCCCTCCGGGGTCGGTTAATTGGTACCAGACTTGTCTGGGAGGATAAAAAACACTGACTTGTACATCGGCTGGCCCCCGCAAGTCATTGTATAGGCCACATCGCATTCAAACGCCACTGCGAATGTACAAATGGAAGTAGAATGCGTGCCGCATCCCAAAAAGGGATTGATCAACGGCAAATGCTTTATCCTTTATCCTTATACGAACTTCTTCATATTTAGTGGCAGAACTTCCAGCTAGTCTCACGACATTGCGCTTCTCAATGCTTTTATCGTAGGGTATGCTTACATTCTCGAGGGTCGAAGTCCACGTTGTCAGCATAAAAACAGGAATCGAGCAAAGATTGGGGCAGGTGAGTGTGCTGTGCAGGTCGTTAGCTCCTTCAAGGAACTCCTCAAGCCGCTGCGCTCGTTGAGAACGCATCAATGTCGGACTCGACCAAAAAAACCCTTCGTACCGTCCGTCTCATAGCTTCGAGTGCATTCAAAATGAAGCTAATCTCTGTAAATCAGAAGCGTGGCCAGTTGTACAATGCACTGAAAGGCGAGCAAAAACAGCCAAGATCAAGAATTAGGCCAAGAAACACACACCACAATAGTTGTAACTGCTTCAGAGGGTGAGCGCTACTGTCAAATGTTTTATACACCGTACGTGAGGATCAGCGACCGCTGCTCCTTGTCTGAATTCGTAGCATGTGCCCACGACGGCGACTGTGAGCGCAGTTTTGAACTCAACATGCATCGAAATAAAAGACGATGCTGAGAAGACGTGTTCTGTGACATTCAAAATATGTCTGAGCGCCAGAAGACCGTCTTTTGGATGAATACTTACCCATCATGAGTGATTAGCTTTTGCATAGAAACAATGTCACAAAAGGGAGCGACATTTCCTACCGGCTACTAACCGACACATGGTGACTCCTTGAATGAAATGGGTGGCTTGCGAGGAACGCCCAAGAGCTAAGTTGAGGGTGCGAGTCTTAATTTTTCCTTTCTCGACGGCGAAGTGATCCCACGTTACAAGAAACCAGAACTGTTGCAACACAAAAGCAATAAGGGCCCAGTAGATACGGTAGGTTTAAGTAGCTCCTATATCCTTACCCCACCGTGGTTCCCTTGAACCGCAAGCTCCACTGTGGCCAGTGACACGGCTCACCGAGCAAAAATGTTTTTGAGCTATCAAACAAGCTGCACAAGTGAAAAGTGATTTTTTTCAGTGCATAAGAGAAGAAAAATTTATTTTTATTCCAAAAACAAATCACAGCATACACGCTAATCGAGAAGGTTGACTCGTGACGGAGATCGGACCTCGTTGAGGTCGACCTCGTCCATGTTTTCAGGTGGTTTCGTTTGGTTCGCGTAAGTCCTTTCCGATGGTCCAGGTGTTTCGGTGTACTCGGGTGGCCTCTCCACGCGCAGAAATGGCATCGGTAGTACCGCCTTGTCTATCGGTGACGGTGGCGGATTTGTCGGTGGACTCACCAGCGACTCGGCGGTGAGCGTGGCCACCTCAGGCTGGCTGAGTTTGGGTGGCAGCGGGCCAGCGTCCACCTGTGCTGGCGAGGTCTGAAGGGTGTGCGGAGATTCGGGAGTGTACCGTGGTGGAGCACCAGGCTCGTAAGGGCTGGTACCTCAATTGTCTGGAAAATGATTTCATCAGTAATTCCCATAATTAACATAAAATCTCCTTCTCCGGTAATCGCGCTGGGTGGAGCGCGAGGCTTATAACATCAGTGAACGTCGCTGATAAATTAAACCCCTGACCGTGCTGTGTTTGGGACCGCCTCTCAACGTGCTTTTACCCATGACGTCATCAATACAGCAGCGCCCAACGGCCATCATGACCACTGCCTTTAAGTTTAATGTAATCATTGGTTAGGCGCTTTAAAATAGAAGGTCTACTGAGATCTAATTTTCGATTAACGAACGTATTGATCGATCACTCCCAGGAACAGTATAGGAGACTTAAACGTTTGCCGAGAAATTCAGAGTGAGGGCCATATAAAGGAAGAAGTAAAATTGTGTCCCATAAAACAATGAAAAAATTGCAGTCGTGCGGGAGGGATCACAGATTACCCGAAAGTTTCCAGTGAAAGTAAGCCAGGAGCCATTTAGGATAGCAGGCCAATTATAGAGAAAAATCAAGGGGTTGAACTGGAGCTCGCGCGTTGTTCTCTTGCTTCTTGGGCCCCCAACCATCACCTCAATTGTGGACTTGGAGAGATGCACGGCGCATACCGAGCTGCTCATCACTTTATTATGATAACATCACAAAACCTAAGCAGACCCCTAAGATTTTGTAAGCAAAACGAACAAAAGAAACAGCTTCCAATAAATCAATAAATCAATAAGTGAAGATGACGTACTGTCGTTGGCGAGTTCGCAGGTACTTGTACAAAACTAGTGTGTAGCGAATTTGAACGCAAGCGATCAGCACGCTGATGAGAGAAAGCGCCACCGATACCCAAACGCTTGCCCAAACTGAAATGCTGAGTTAGAAAATCAAAAGCTCGATGTACATAAAAATGGAGAAAAAAAGAAGAGGTCCATTCAGACCATTTATAAAAGAAGGCGAAATTTCAACTTACATGCTCCTGTGAGTGGAACGCAATTGGGGTTATCGTTTTCGCCACTGTCGAGCGGTACATTTTGTAACGGCGGATTTACTGAACATTTGAGAAGTATCAATAAAGAGAGACGACATCGACAGAAAAAACAGGGCAATCTTCCTTATTTCAGGGATCTCTCAACATATAAGTAGAAATATTTCGCAGAAAATTCAGTTGTTGGCGAAGTCTTTATGACGCTATAGCCTTAACTATTACTACATAAAATACATTCAGTTTTTGAAACGAATCCCGAGAATGTCCGCCCACAAGGGTGACTCAAGGGTTTCATATTAATGTAGCTATTTAGCTATCAAACAAACAAGGTGGAACTAAGGCAGTTATGCATGGCATGACTCATCGTCGACGAACCCTCTATGGAGAAATTGTATTGGCTGTCGGGAACGGCATTCGCTTTTCTGCTTAATTATACCACACCACTTGGCTCACCGACCCCTCCTATTAGCAGTATTTTGACCCCACCCACCGCGCAAACTTCACCCCGGCCCCTGGATCACACTAATTTGTTATATTCTATAGGATTTCAATTTCCTATATCCCACCTGCCACTGCACACATCTAAGCGCTACCATCTCGTCCTCTCAGCTTCATCCTACCCGTCACGCACAATGCCCGCCACTGTGGATTAACACCGCCTACACGCCTCATTTATAGACTTTTTCCTCAACGACGACACTCGTTAAGCACTTTTCATATACATACATCCACACATGCCCCGCCTACTTGCATAAACTCCGCCCTCTCGTGATTCGTAAGTATTTTTATTGGTCCAAAGAAATAGAGTAGTTTACGATACAAGATTAGAAGGACATTAATCGGTTGAGTAAATTCCACAAAATTCGTCGGACACGATTCGCGGAATTATCAGAAAATTCGGAGTTTCGATTCCGTTTGGACGTATTCTGATTGAATGGACCATTCTAGCATCAACTACCGCCCTCAGCCCCCCCCTCCCTCCAAGTTACACTGTCCTAACTGTTGTTGTGATCACTTCATTGATTACACAATACATGCTTACTGACGCGATTACGGATTCATATGTAAAAAGATGATGATTAATGCTACAAAATCGTTTGCCCCGGCCGATTGATGGATGACTTACGTCAGACCGGTATAAATCGCTACCCTCAATAGGTAGGCATTCGATTATTTTGTAAAATTCATAAACCTAACAGCTATAAGCCTACAGTTAAACGTTCATGAGCAGCCCCTTCCACGCTCTCCCTCAATGAATTCATACCTATTTGATTCGTTTTCAGCGGAGAATCGGTGGATGATGACATCGTGGTCGTCGTCGTTCTAATCATCACAGGTTCGTCACAGTATCTACGTCTATAGCTCGGCAAAAAACTTATACCAACCAGCATTCCAAAAACTATGAACATCATCATGAACACATAGATCGCCTGAAACTGATTGATATTAGCCTAAATCTTTTGAGAAACGGTTGAAATTACTCATTAGTGCCCATGTTAACTTGAAACGTTCACAAATCATTTCACAACGCAATACGAGAAGCACCACGGCCTTTCGCCGTCAGATACAGGAGCGAATGACCTGCTGGCCGTGCGGGCTTCTTTGCACATGGGGTGCGACATGGGAGCTCTTTAAAAACGCTTGGGATCTTTGCAGCAGGTGAAAAGTTTTGTGTTTGTGTTTGTATGGCTCTTACCAGTAGCTCTCGGACACCCTCCTCCAGCTTAGAAAACCGGGAGAGCAAACTCATCCTTGCCCTTTCCACTGCGAACATATTCTTGCTATAGTTAGGAAGCAGGAGAAAGTGGATACATGGCCATTCTGTGGGAATGAGCTGTTTGTTCAGTCCACGTTCAGGATTCATTTTTAAGCACATGGGTCGAATAACCACTGATTTACCAAATGCACACCTTTCCAGAAAAGATTCTTCTAAAAAAGATGGAGAACTACAATTTCTATAATCACTTAGTCTCAAAAGCCCCCTGTTCAAGTAGTCTTTGTACTCAAAGACTCTGCCCGCGATCAGTTCTTTTGTACAACCTATTCAGTGAATAGCTAGCTGGATCGACAACTGCAGAGGTAAGACATATGCCGCTACTCGAAAGGACGTGGCAAGGGAGCCCAGCGCTTACGATTTGCTTCAATACACGTCTACCATTGCAAATGTTCTGGCGTCTGCGTCTCGCTCGAACCTGTGCTCTCTCATCGGGCTCTCTTTTAGTGATCTTCATTATTTCCTTCAGCGCTCCACCTCACATTCCAACACCGTTCCCGAGTACAACTACACCTAGGCATTTCTGGAATGTGTCTTTAAAGGCAAGGTCCAGAATTTTTGTCGAAACTAAGCTTTTCCTTGAGAAAAGTGCAGTAGTGCACCAACTGAAAGCACATCCACAACTTCTAAGACGATCTGGCAAAGAAAAGGCGCTAAGGGCCGGTGGGCAGGCTTAATGGTGCTGGCCCCACCCACCACCATTAGCGCTATTTCGTTGGCTGCTACAGGAGAGAGGGTTTTTCTTCGGCCTTGTCAACGATTTCTTCCCCTTTTTTGCATTGCTGGTGTTACACTCACATCTCCACTGTCACTTACAAGTGCAATAATACATCGATTCGATCCCGGACTTTGCCTTCAAATCAGCTTTACTCCAGTAAAATCAATCGATACAATTTTCGGAGTTCCGATTAGCGAACCATTTTACGCTGCACTGATTTCATTCGGGGGGCAAGTAATGACCATGATAAGAAGGGTTCTCGAGTCGCTCAGGGCTCCTTAAAAGATCGACCAACTGATTCCCGAGAAAAGTGAAGATCAATGCTCGTTCCGAATGTTTAGCACACATGGGCAAAGCAAACAAAGCAACTTTTTCCAGATCGTAACAGCGTTTAACATGACCCATTTCGCCTTTCAAAAGGCAAGAAATGCACCGAGTATGTCGACAGGCGCATGAAGCGCTGTTTGCTAGGACGAAATTTTGAATGAAACCAAGATTAGAAATTACGGTAGCCAAGCGGTCATCCTGGGGAAAACTAACGCCTGTTCCTACTTGGGCGACAAAGCCGGGACGATTGAGTTGTGAAACAATTCTACAAGGCGCTAGCAAAGTACGGGGCGCCTTAGTCGGGCCCCTGCCCTCATTGTACTGCCACTTGAAACGCGTAATACAATTCTTTTAATGAAAACACGGTCTGGCAAAAGGAGAAGAGATTTCAGGGTACCTAATGCCATTCTCATTTCCTCGAAGGTTCTTCCTGCTCGCTGGCTCAGCCTTGGGAAATGCCCCCGTTTATTGCGATAGCGCCTTCTACAATACTCGTTTTGACTTTGCGAGTGAATAAGCGTTAGAGCACCCTACGCCATTACCGGTCGAAATTTGAAATGAATTACTGTATAAAAACGGAAATTCGAAAACGATTTGAATTAGGAACCAATATGCGACAACTTACCAAATATGCCAGATAAACGGCTAAATGTCCGGTTTTCTGTTGTCGTACGCCATGAGAAAGGAAAGAACACCATTCCGAATGCAATCAGAAGTTCAAAAAAATAAATGAAGAAATTATCGGAGCAGACCAGAAATAAGGCGACCACTTGCGAAAGCAGCACCAATGAGCTGAGAATTCCAACAGTGCCCTGAAAAAGTCGGAAAGTGACGCTCAAAATTATATTATTTTGATTTCTGTCTGCCGCAATAGGCATGGCTCATTCCAAACCTCACCTTTCCCTTCCAAAAAATGCATGGACGAGAAACTTGATGGCCTTAGGGGTTCAAAAATATTTATAACAGTTTATAACAGCCAAAAGCCATAAGCGTAGTTCCCTGTGCTCTCTGTGAACTTACAGCAACCTGTGATTCTAGGATTAAAGGGCCGGTTCAAAAAAATCAACCCAGCCTTTTCCATGAGGTAAGTTGGAGGAGCTGCGGTGGTCCTTGATTGTCTAAAGTCCCCCCTTGAAATACACATTTTTAGTTGATGTCACCATCTGGACACCCCATGCTCACGCTACCCTCGTCCATCACCTGTTAATCATCTTTATTTCGATTTCAGACTCTGCGAACCGAGCGACTCGCTGTACGCGACGCGACCGCCGACGCTCACGTATCGCTCAGTTCGCAAAGTCTGTCATCGGCCTTAGCCTTCCCCAGACCCTATCAAATCTCAGAGATATGCGCCAGACCCCCAAGAGGTAAGTCCTTATTTTACTTTAGCACTGAAAAAAAAACTTACGCTGAGGGGCAGATTGCAGATCGCACGCGGCTCCTCGTCGTACATCTTGCCTCACATGGGGATTCACCAACAGAAACCTCTGGAAGAAGAAGAAGAATAAACGTTTGGCAAACACGGGGCGAAATTCACTTGAAGAATATTGACGAATATTTGATGAGTCACTCGATATGGAAACTGCTCGTCATCAGCTGCTTGCCGCACACCAAAACCTCCATGAGCAAACAACCAACACTCCCCGGGCAGGACCGCCCCGCTCTGTTGACTGATATGGCATTATCACCGACCAACACAGAACCTTGCGAAACACACGAGCTCTGGTTTAGTGTCAGGTAGTAATGATAAAAGATAAACGCTTTGGCTCTGGAGGGAGGGAGGGGGGACTGACATATTGGAAAGTAGTGCCGCTTATCACGCGCGCGGCTCAAGGATTAAATCCCGACTCAAATCTCATCGAGGTCAACCCAAGCCCGTAATTCCGAAGTCAGTTGATCGGGCAACGGGGATAAAAACACGAACCCGTACCTCGGGTCCATGAGGCCAAATCGCAGTGTATCTATGTCACTACGATTCTAAATAGAAGTATAGCGCGTGGCGCTTACCAAAGTAATCAACTCAAAATATTCATATTCTTGGTTAAATTTCCAACCTCAGAGTTAGTTTCAAGGACCCGTGGGTCCCGAGCGCGGTAGAGCGACATTTCAGGCAAACCTTATGGCGCTCATGGGTTGATTCTTGAGTCAAAGTCCCTCTGGTGCACTCTCATGTACTAATCATAGACCAAACGCTATATACGAGGGGCATTGTGATGGCAATGTTTTCGACAATAAGCGGAACACGTCTTGCGCTGAAAAGGAAACTGAGCTTAAGCGAGAGTGAAAGAACTGACGGACTCTGATGGATGCTGAGCCAAGTTCGGACCCCTGGCAGCCTCCTGGCCTCCTCCTAGTCTTAACCCTAAAGGATGCCCCATATTTGGCGATAGCGCCAGATCAATCAAAACCCCAGGTATAAGAAGTCAACTACTCTCCTTCTCCCTGCTGCTATCCTGTAGTTGATCACAGCTCAAGACTGGAAATTTCTACGTATGTCGGCGTCATCGAAAATGGATGCTGTCATGTGATAAGGAAGAAGAAGCAACGGAACAGCGCCCAGAACAACAAAACGAGGACAAGTTGTAAAGCATAAAATGGATGCAGTGCTTGGCAGTGAACAACCCTTCTCTCACTATGCGCCCACACAATCAACTTCTATTCAGAATCATAGCCGCATTTTGAATGCGTATCTGAGCCGCTCCAAGGATTTTCCTAAGCCTCTCATAATGATATCAGACCTTTAAGTGACGCCAATGAAGTAAAAAGCTGAGGGGCCTGGACAAATCCTAGACGGGATTTGATCCACGTGTCGTGTGTGTGGTAACAAGCGGCCACCTACGCTGTGCGGCCTCCTTCTGTTTTCTATTCGCGAAACCAATCATTCATCCAAGTTTTAATCACATAGAACTTTTTGAAGTGACAAAAGGTGATTCAAGTGATTAAAATTGTTGAGAGAAAGAGTAAAGCGGGGCCTCTATACAAGTGAGGCTGGGCACGCCCGGCTTTTCCGCTGTACTTGCCTCACCCCCCCTACCCCTAGCGTTGGCTAACAATCGCCCTGGCTAACGATTCCCCGATTCTCAGTGACAGATTATAAGTAAGCGGTTTAGCAGTCCCAGTACTTTACATACATTTTCTGTTCCAAAACATTGTGGCGGGCCCCACCCTACTAGTATGCACCTTAAGCAGAATGCATTCGGCGATTGGTTCAACATCTTTCGCGACCGTGCGCATGCATTATCTGCCGTTCAGAATAGGTAGGGCTCTTTAATACGATTATACTAGAGTAATTGCGGGTGATGTAAAAAGCTGCCCACCCCTTGACTTGAGCTTCCCAGACAAATCAGGTAGCCAATTTCGAGGCTACAGCCATGGAAGGCCGTGCGACGGGACAGGACCATGCGGTACCAATGTCCATAACACTGCTTTTGGGTGGAGCAAAAATATATAAGAGAGAAGGCTTCTTTACCTTTTATTGGTATATATTATGTGACTTCTGTTTTTGTAAGTATTTACAAGTTCTTTCTTTTGTTTTATGTCAATTAGACTTTTTGAATACTTAGGTACTTGTTCGATAGTGCGAACAGACCCAGGCCGTTAGCCGTTTGTATATTTGGCTTAGTGGTAGAAAGGATGATAAAGACACGGCACGTCGGCGACGCGGTAAGACACGAAAAGTACAGCTCAAGACGGCTTTGCCAGGGTTCAACCGGTAACGTGGACCGACGTTGGACCGACGTTGACCGCTCTCCGCGCCGGCATTCGCACTCGCCTTGCGCGAGCCGTCTGTGTCTCCGTGCGTACGTTCACTCTCGGCATTACTCTCACACGCTAGAGAGCCATGCGTTGGACTTTGTCCAACGGACGGTTGACCCTGGCCTGTACTGCCATAACGGCGACGGCCAGTGGTATTTTGTTGGCGTGCGCCACATGGTGGCGCACGCCGCCACACAGGGTAGGGTTTATGTAGGCTTATGCGAACAGCAGGGTTAAGACGGGGCTAAAGTAGGTGTCCTTGTCTCATCATCCAAAAGAAGAGATTTCCGTTGACGACAACTTCGTAACCCGCCTTTCCGCTTCAAAACTAGGGTGCAAAGAATGAATGGAAGCTGCAGGTGAAATCATGGAAAAATGCGGAACAACAACCCCGAGCAAGGATGTGGCTATATTTAGGGGAAGGGGTCTCGGCGTAGTGAACCATGGGATAATGCCACACCGCAAAACAGGAAACGGCGCAAGTTTCGGGGGGGGGGGGGGACCAGTCGCCGCGCGCGGCGTTGCGGCAACAGGAAATTCGTGAGCCAGGGGGAGTGTAGCCAATTCAGGGGGGGGGGGGGTGAGGGCAGTCACTTAGCATGCGTGAGAAGCTGGAAATGTTCCCGTGAGAAGCTGGAATGTTCGAGTTACACTACATCGCTGAGCCGCGCGCGGCGACTTCCCCCCCCCCCCGAGCCACATTGCGCCCAAATAGTAAACTTATGTAAATTAAGACAAAGTGTATGTAAAATTTATTGTAGGTTTGTCAAAAATCCAGTCGTCCAGGTCCTGGGAAGATATGTTATTCCACATTGCTGAGAGTATATACGGGTATATTAAGATTGCTAGAAACATTCAAAAACAAAAGAAATAATCGTGCGCCACCATGTGGCGCACGCCGTCCGTTATGGGTTAACTGACAGAAAGGGCTGTACTGACAATTGTGAGTGCGAAAGGAGTGCAAGGAAACAGCAGTAGCAAAGCAGTAGCAATCTTATCGCAGCAGATACTATTTCAATGCCATACGAGGCAGTCACGCTCTGTCAATCAGTACTGAACACAGCAAAAAATATAGTGAACAGGAAGAAGGAAAGGTCAGTCCTTTTTCGGGATGCGCCGTGCTTTCGACTTGGTTCAAAATGATGGGGTACTCAACAGCGAATTCGATTGAATGCTTCCAACTTGCAACTCTGTTTTTATCGTTTCAGACATACTAAAAGAAATTCTACTTATCTTGGAGGCCCTAATGGCCCTGTTCGTGTCCAACAGGACCCTACGAACAGTCTCCTAATGGCGACATACACCAATGCTCCATCTCTATCCTAGGCCAAAGGATAAGCAAACAAGTGAGAATATACTAGTGAAGGAAAGAATGCTTCAGAACCAGAGCAAAGTGGGAGTCGACGAGGAAATGCACAAACCCACAGCCGAAAAGAAAATCGATAATAAAAACAAATAACCATAAAGAGCGAAGAAGCCAACATCAGAAAGAGAAAAGAACTTGAAAGAAATCATTTCTGGGCAGAAGAGCTGAGAGGTCCATAAGAATAAGCCGAACGGACACCATGAAAGGAACTCGTCAGCGATTTGGCATCCTCGGTTTCTAGGGAACAATGGCTTTTTATGGGTAGCGCCACTTCTGGCGTCTTCCCCCACATCGCCACTATAGGGCAATTTGCCCCGCGCTCTGAAGAATGGCGTCGGTTTAATTCTTTGTTTTCGTAGGAGCCCTCTAGTTCAATTTCATCTGACCTCCCTCTTCCCCTCACCACTACCAAGGAAAACCGGGTTATCGTTTGGGCCCGTTCTTGATCTCCTGGATAGTGACTTCTAACTCTAGTCTACTACTTTAGCCCAAAGAGGTGTCCTGCTGGTCGCTATGAAAAGCGCAACGATTCGAATCGATTCATTCCCATTCATAACATCGTCAGTGTTTGCACATCGTAGCAATGCAACTAACTGATTTACCTGGGCGTTTGCGGGGTTTTTGAAGGGCCGGCGGGGCGGGGAAGCTGTGAGGAGTTCGAGTTCAGTGATTACTTTCTGTATCA